ATGTATGCTTAGTGTTTTGCTTATTATATGTTCAGGGGAATTTCTTCCCTGTTTCCGTCTGTTTCATGTTCTACATGCTTCTTTTACATTGTCAGGCACTTTCTCTTTTAGGTTAGGGAAATTTTCTTCTCTGATTTTGTTGAAAAGATTTTCTGTTCCTTTAGCCTATATTTTTCTCCTTCCTCTTATTCTTTAATTTGATATTTTTATGGTGTTCTAGATTTTTTTGTATATTTTGTGCATGGAGATTTTTAGATTTAACATTTTCTCTTACTGGGATATCAATTTTTCTATATTATTTCAATTTCTTAAGTTTTTCTTTCCCTCTTTTATATTCTGTTGATGAACCTTTTTCTGAGGTTCATGTTCAAGTTCCTAAATTTTACATTTTCAGCATTCCTTCTGTTTGAGTTTTATTTATTGACCCTATTTCTACTCTTAGATCTCAAACTGTTTTATTCATTTCCTCTCATTGTTTCTCTCTTAATTGACTTCTTCATTCCTTCTTTAAGAAAATCTATCACACTTATACAGGCTATTTAGAATTTTTTGTCTTGTGCTTCAGTTACATTGCATTTAACAGAGCCTACTGTTATAGGGTTGCTAGACTCTAGTGGATGCTAATACATGGTTAATTCATGAACAAGGGAGAGTCACAGCCCAGGTCAATGCAGTGGAGGAGCGCATGGTGCCGTTGCACAGCAGAGAGGGGCCAAGAATTGAAACTGGGTGAATTTGTGTCAGCTAAAATTATCACATCCAGAAATTATCAGAATCTTTCAGAGCAGGGTTTCTGGTGGGTAAACAGAACCCTGAAAGCAAACCACAATATGGTGATACTTTATTTGTACTGAAATGTGATTTTATTTGTATGTTAATAAATAAAGTTGCCTGGGGGTCAGAGCTAATAGCAAACTATAGCAGAAGCTGGGCCGTGGGGGTACACGCCTTTAATCCCAGCACTTGGGAGGCAGAGCTAGGCAGATCTCTGTGTGTTCAAGGATACAGCCAGCATGGTGATTCACGCCTTTAATCCCAGAAAACAGGCCTTAAATCCCAGGGAGTGATGGTAGAAAGCAGAAAGGTATATAAGGCATGAGGACCAGAAACTAGAAGCATTTGGCTGGTTAAGCTTTCAGGCTTCTAGCAGCAGTTCAGCTGAGATTCATTCTGGATGAGGACTCAGAGGCATCCAGTCTGAGGAAACAGGATCAACTGAGGAATTGGCGAGGTGAGGTAGCTGTGGCTTGTTCTGCTTCTCTGATCTTCCAGCATTCACCCCAATAAATGGCCTCAGATTTGATTTTATTAATAAGTACTTTTAAGGTTCATACTACATCTGGAATTCTCCTGTATTTTTTATTAAAAAGAAATCTGGTAGATGGAGAATGGTAACAGACCTTAGAGCAATTAACAAAGTAATTCAGCCAAAGAAATCTCTACAATCTGGAATTCCTTTGCCTACTCTGTTACCAAAAGGATGGCCTCTCATAGTTATTGATTTAAAAGACTGTTTCTTTTCAATACCCTTACAAGAAAAAGACAGAGAAAGATTTGCCTTCACAGTGCCTACTTACAATAATTCTCAACCAGTTAAAAGATTTCAATGGAGGGTCCTCCCTCAGGGAATGTTGAATAGTCCAACCCTGTGCCAATATTTTGTACAACATTGGAAGTGATACGTAAAAATTTTTCTAAATTATAATTTATCATTATATGGATGATATTTTACTAGCTGACTCAAATGTAGATACTTTAGAAAGAATGTTTGAAGAAGTAGAGAAAATTTTGCCTTGCTGGGGATTACAAATTGCTGAAAAGATACAAAGAGGAGATTCTATTAATTATTTAGGATATAAAATAGAACTACAAAAAATTAGACCCCAAAAGGTACAAATTAGGAGAGATCGACTACAGACTCTTAATGACTTTCAAAGATTATTTGGAGACATTGCTCATCTACCAACTATTGTTGGGGTAAAAAATGATGAACTGAATAATTTGTTCAAAACCGTAGAAGGTGACAAGGACTTAAATAGTCCAAGAGAATTATCACCTGAAGCTGAGAAAGAATTGGCCTTGGTAGAAAAGAAAGTACATGAAGGACACTTGGATCGTATTGATCCAAAGCTGGATTGCATTTTGGTTATTTTACCTTCTAGGCATTCTCCTACAGGAATATTAATGAATAGGGAAGATATTATATTGGAATGGATATTTTTACCAAATAAACCGAATAAAAAATTAAAAACTTATGTGGAAAAAAAATCTCTGATTTGATTTGGAAAGGAAAATTGAGACTTTGTCAATTAGCAGGAATAGACCCAGAATAAATTGTTGTACCTTTAACTAAGGAGGATTGAAAAATTAAGGACAGAAAGTGAACCTTGGCAAAGAATACGACACCCACATTCCCAAAGAGGTGGTGTGGGGAGGGTCGTATTTTGGTCTTTTAATGGGTTTTGGGTCTGGGATAATTTTCACTGCTTAGGAGGGTTGGTTACAAGTTGTTGTTAAGGGTTAAGAAAAGGGCTAAGCAAAGGAGATTAGATTTAAGGTTCTTGTTTAAAAAAAGAAAGAAAGAAAAGAAAAAGAAAAAGACAATTACTAGTTTAAATACATTGGATTGGATTTTTTATAGTGTGTACAAATCATATATATTGAAATTGATATGTTAGAAAATGCTGTATGTATATTTCTAATTTTGTTCAAAATATTGTACTTATACCATTCATTTAACAATGTAATGCAAATTGCTGATCCTTGAATGTTATCATTACCAACTATTAGGATAAAAAGAAATGAAAGTTAGTAGTTAGACATTATAATAGAACTTGTAGTCATATTAGGTATGTTTTCAAGATTGAGCAGATATATTTTAGATAGGCAGGTCATCTTCAAACCCTTCAGAGATCTACAGAATGACATTTAAAATGTTTTAATAACTTAGAAAATTTTTCTTTTTTGTTATAACTATGAGAGATTTTGGCTCCTGGCAGTACCAATCTACTTCAGAGAAAATATGGGCATTGAAGAAACTGCATATGAAGTTAACTTTCATTGTGACAGAAGTTAGCCACTGGACAACAAAGTATCTTTGAATCAACTGCTGACACACAGGACAAGATGGACAGACAGGACACGAAACAAAGGACTTATTCTTGCCAAGACAAGTGTGGTTGTGGCTTTGTCAAAAGGCATCTTCTGAGGCCAGGACAATATGGCACTATCCCTGAAGTGGCCTTTGCAAGCTGGAAAAAGTACCATGTCCTTTTCTTCAAAGGCAGCTGAAACAGTTATTCTTGAAGAGTAACTAAGGTCACACCTCTCAATAGTAGACTGGCATTTAATAGAGGGATGTGGAGAAGAATGGAATGCCAAGATGAACACACACACACACACACACACACACACACACACACACACACACGAAGAATGGAAAGCTGAATTCAAAAAACACCAACAATTTCTAGAATTTAAGATCCTAAATCATGACATGACACTAGTGGAATTCAGGTGTTTCTGGTACATGGACTGCTCTCACCCAATGTGAGGTTAAACTGTTGACTTTGTGTATATCCCACTTCACAAATGAGTTTGTCAGATATGCTAAGCCTATATGCTGAAGATGATGCCCAACACTGTGGAGAAACCTCAGGTGACTGTCCAGGCAGCTGGCTGTTTCTGTCAACTCACATTTTTTTTTTTTTGGAAGTTGCTTACATGCACTTTCTGTTTTTATTTTTGTTAGGTAATATTTCTTTCTTGGGTCTCTGAGGGAGTTGAATATTAGTTAGTTAGAGATGAAGATTAATTAGCTATAGTTATAGTTTTCCTTGTTAATTTCAGAATGAAACTCACTAAAGAGGTGTAAATGTATAAATTTGAAAGACGTTATAAGACAGTTCTGTTAGTAATATAAGTTAGGATAGAAAGTGAATCAGGTACATTTTGGACTTACCAAAATAGGATAGACAATGGAATTATTTTCTCTGAATTTGTCAAATACAAATGGACTAGACATTTTTTAGGTATTTATTGCTTGTATATATGGTATATAGTTATTGTACTTTTGTATATAGTTTTTCTTATATTAGTTATAACTTTTTTCTTTTTATTAAAATAGAAAAGGGGAAATATGGTGATAGTTTATTTGTACTGAAATGTGATTTTATTTGTATGTTAATGAATAAAGTTGCCTGGGGCTCAGAGCTAATAGCAAGCCATAGCAGAAGCTGGGTGGTGGTGGTGCATACCTTTAGTCCCAGCACTTGGGAGGCAGAGCTAGGCAGATCTCTGTGTGTTGAAGGATACAGCCAGCATGGAGACACACGCCTTTAATCTCAATACCAACCATAGAAGACCTGGAGGTCTGTAGAGATGTGCAGTGATGAAGTCATGTGGTTGGGTTTACAACCAATGAAAAGGCAAAACAGAAAGTCAATAAAAAGACAGTCACACAGGAAGTAGCTCTCTTGGCTGAAGAGGACAGCAGCAGCAGTGAAGGGTAACGTTTTTATCTCTTAGCTCTGACCTCTTGGGCTTTCATCTCTGCATTGGCTCTGTGTTTCTTATTTAACAAGATGGTTACATCTACATCACAACAATGAAGAATACCATCCATCACAGAGGACATAACCACACTTTCTTCCAAACAACAGAACAACACTCAGTCCCAGCTTTAAGATGAATTGCATGTTTCATCACAAAACAGGCACTGCATGAAAAGGTAAAGAAGCTAGAGGTTTTTTTCAAGGATTTTATTTGCACAAGCATTAAAAGTGAAAATAACTACAGGAATCATAAACATTTGTTAGAGCAACAGTTACAAAGCTGTACTTTCAAATATTTGAAACCTCCTAGAATTCACATAACAGTGTGGATCTTGAGGGACTCAACAGTTTAACACACTCAGCAAAGGCTGGTCATTGAAGTGATGGTACCCATCTGAAAAAGCAGTCTCCTGCCAAGTGCTTCCCTGTGGGCATCAGGCTGCTTGCTCACACAATAGGGTATTGGGCATATGAAGAAATTTGACAGAGGTTGTTCCAGTCTTTGGCAAGTTTCATATAGCCCTTCAGGCCCCATTTTTTACCCCAGCTGAAAGAAAGCATGTTTTCCATTCAGTAGAATGATTACCACATGATGGACTTATTATGATACTGGCAAGAGGCCAACCTAACAAAATGATGAGGAAAGGCAGAGGGTCTCTTCCTGAGTACCTAGAGGTGCCTCACACAGGAGTGTGAAGACCACAGCATAATGTCCTTCTATACATAGATGTTTCAGAACTATCAAATGTGTCACATTTTAGAAAATCACGCCGGGCGGTGGTGGCACACGCCTTTAATCCCAGCACTCGGAGGCAGAGCCAGGTGGATCTCTGCGAATTTGAGGCCAGCCTGGGCTACCAAGTGAGTTCCAGGAAAAGGCGCAAAGCTACACAGAGAAACCCTGTCTCGAAAAAACAAAAAAAAAAAAAAAAAAAAAAAAAAAGAAAAGAAAAGAAAAAAAAAGAAAGAAAATCACTGGCACATACATGACATCGACACCCTAGAAACCAGTGAAGGAATGGGAATTCTATGATAATATATTGTTGGTAAGTTCTTAGAGCTTTAGGGGAGCTCAGAGGTTGAGGGGTTAAAATCAGTTTCAAGAGCTCTGAAAAGCCAGAACGGCATTGTAGTGTACCTGTAACCCATGTTCTAGGGACATGGACACAGAACACACCTGGAGCAAGCTGGCTACTCAGACTAAGTAGTGAACTCTTAGATCAGGAAGAAACACTGCCTCGATATAGAAGTTACTTAATGATTGAGAAACAATTGATGCTAACATCAGGCTTCTATGTATGTGTACTTGCACACATGTTTCCACAGACAAGCAGACAGGCAAACATACCTTACATATATACATGGGAATGCAAGAACAGATTTTGTTCAACTTAAATGAAACAAAATTTTATGGGTTGTGTATCAAAATACTAACTGCAAGTTGTGATCTCTTCCTGAACCCCTTGGAAGGGAATCCAGTGTCCTTAACCACAGAACTACCTGTCTACGCCCTGGAATTTCAAATATAAATTTGGCAATTTATACCTGTTCTTTATCAGCCAGTATTTATTGCCATCCATTTCATCTCCTTCATGTCCATAGCCAACCACAAGAACTGCATGATTCACAACAGAGCTGCTGCAGTTTGGCTCATGATAAATACCTGAGAAACAAAATAGAAGCTGATGTGAGATGCATAGCACACCTGACAGTGACCACTGCCACCAACAATAGGAGGACTATTTCAATGATCACTGAAATGATGTAACTACAATTAGACTTAAGAGTTAGATTAATTATTCACAAGAATGCTAACACACACACACACACACACACACACACACACACACACACACACACACAGTTTCACAGAAAAACTGAGGAAATCCAAGGTTGCAAGATTTATTGAGAGCTACTGTCTTCTTGACAATGAAATGACTCCTTAGGCCTTTGTAGTTTTGTTACTAGAGTCTCATATTAAGTTAGATTTATACGACATAAATTATTTAATTCACAGACTCTGTTACAATTTAATTTCAGATAATCAGTTTCTATAAATAACTAAAACATCCATGAAATGGAGCAGAGTTGGAAAATTAATCAATAAATAGGACACATTAACTTTCATGTGTTGATTCATATCAGGTAAAATTCAGTACTCAACTATTATATGGAGATGAGTCATATCCAGAAACCTAAACATTCACATCACATATTTTCCATAACAGCCAGAGATATCACAAGTTTTTTTCTTCATATCAAGAAGGAAATATACTAACCTGTCCTGTAGAACAGAAATGAATCATGGAAAGCATCAATTGAAACAGCAATGGGCCCTTTATTTGCTACAGCATCCATTAGGATATCCTCACCTTCTGGGAGGACAAAAAATGCTTTGATTTTAGCAGCAGAACGTGCAGGACGGTACCTGCATTTCCATTCCTTTAAAATGTAAAGAGATAAGAGACTCAGTTTCTTCCACCCATGTCCTCAGACCAAGAGTCACAACCACACACAAGTCTGAGTTATTGTAAATCATCTCAGGAAGTGAAATGCTACTAGGTCTGGAACTGAAAGTAAGTTCTCTTGTCTTCAATGACAATCAATAAGAAATTTTAGTGCTGTGGAGATCTGTATTATATGTACAATAGTTTCTATATTTTCCATGAACATAGAAAAGAGTTACACTGAAATCATGACATCAAAAATTTAAGTAAAGGACCATACTTAATAACAGCATTGATGGTGTACAGAGAGATTCTATTTCCCAATCTGAGCACTGACGATAGTGTATCATATTGTCAATTGTCCCTCACTCCAAGTTGAGCTGAAATGACAACATAGAGGTTGACTTACTTTTCTTTCATATGGGTAAGTTGCCTCAGCCTCTATACCTCCATTGTGCAAGACATACTGAAAGGCATTGTATGTATTACCCGAAGCACAGCCATTATTGCCATGAGGTCTAGAACAGTCGACTAGGTTCTGCACACTCAGGGGGGTGACTTTGCCTGTTTTGTGGTACATTTGTCCTTCTATGGCACCAGCTACAGTAAAAGCCCAACATGAACCGCATTTACCCTACACAGAGAGGAAAATATGGTCATTCACAAAAAATTACTGACTCAAACAACATCATAGACAACCAAATAAATTGTGAATATGAAGAACTGGCAGTTGCTAAATGCCTAGAAAGGAAAAGAGGACTTGGATGCTGGTAATGTGTACATGCTCACATGAGTTCACATACACACACTCACACACACACACACACACACACACACACACACACACACACACCGAACATTTGCGCAGGTTCTACTGGTTTTATGGATTATTAGTGACAATAGAAGGAACAAAAATCCTGCAGTAAGATGGGATATAGACTCATAGTTGGAGAATGTGTTTGGTGGACTGACCATATCAATGCACATTGGAAAATATATGAACATTTCAAAGAAGAAAATATATTATTTAAAAACTGAACTGCAAATCTCTCCTCATTCAGTATGAACACTGAGACAGCAAGTCCTATTCCCCTTCAATATGATTTAAGAAGAAGGGCAGATGGCACTGTCATACCTGATTTCGCACAGGAGTCATGTAGCCTTTCTTTCGCCAATCCACAAATTTGGGTAAACCAACATCACCAACAGCACGTTTCCAGATGCTTTTCCTCTTGTTGTGAGGTTGGATGGGGAAATTAACCATCATGTCCTTGAATTCTTCACCAGTCTTCAAGGAAAATTACATAGATGATTATAAAAGAGAAGACTCTGCTGTGGATATTGTTCTGTATAAATAAAACACTGATTGGCCAGTGGCCAGGCAGGAAGTATAGGCAGGACAAGGAGAGAGGAGAATTCTGGGAAGTGGAAGGCTGAGTGAGGGAGACACTGCCAGCTGCTGCCATGACAAGGTATAAATTTATAGAAATGGGTTAATTTAAGATATAAAAACAGTTAGCAAGAATTCTGCCCTGGCCATACAGTTTGTAAATAATATAAGCATCTGTGTGTTTACTTTATAAGTGGGCTGTTGGATTGCCGGGGCTTGGCGGGACCCAGAGAGAAAACTCCAGCTACAAAACTCCATATAAACACTCAAGAAAACACAGTGTGAAGAATCCATGTCACACTCACCATGTCACCAAAGCCGTTCATTTCCATGGTGTAGCCATTCTTACCCAGACCATTCTCCCCATTGTGATCTTTAATAATTTTCAAGTTTTTTTCCCATACTGTTCTCCTCATTGCTTCTTCCTCCTGGATAAAAACATAATGGATGACATTTCTTTCTAACTAAACTCCTGTACAAGCTGACCTTGTGGACTTGCTGCTGCAGGTGACTAGAGGCCAAGGAGAGCTATTCTAGGACACTATAGTCACACATTCTCCACATACAGAGGAAAAGGGAATTTGGCTACCCTGTGCTCACAATGATCGTGACTAAGTAATCTCTCAGTGGTGGTGGTTGTAGTGGGGCCTATGACCTCTAATATGCCTAGACACTTGCACTCTGGGGCTCTTCTGAATATTTCCAGGTTACTAACCAGGCTGTATGATTTTTCATAATCCATCTTCCATTTCTCCCATTCAGCATCCAAACTGGGATCATGTGCTGAAGCACCTGACATAATTCCTATGCACAGGATAACCAGGAATACAGCAGAAGTCATGACTTACAACCCTGGATAAGGAAGAGAAATGAAGTTGCAACACCACCAGTGTTTTTAAAATGTCTGAGAAATCAAGCCACCCATGGCCAATTAAATTTTTTTAATTACTCTTTCAAATATTTTTGAAAGATTGTAGAAAAGACTGAGGATGTGTTTGAACTGAGTCATTCACTGGTATTTATTAGATCCAATACAAAGTGAAGAGTATGTGCCCAGAATTCCAGCAATGAAAACCTTTGTTGTACTGCATCTTATTATTACAGAAAGGTCTCCATACACTGTGAGCAACAGAAGCAAAAAACAACTATTGTTTTAGGATATCACTGACCCATGATTCCTAAAAGCAAAACTTCTATCATGTGGCATTGGATTCTAATTTCAAGGTGACCTCAAGAGTTGGGGCCACAGGGCAACATATACCTTTCTAATATACAGCAAATTGTGGGCTTATCTTTAAACCTCTCTTCTTCAATGAAACTTTGTGAAATATCTTCTATTAAGAATGTTTGAAGAATATTTATTATTCCTTGCATTTCACCCTTGGGACCATGCAATCAAACTCCCAACTCACTCTCTACATGAGAATATTGTCACATGAAAAGCCAACAGGAAGGCAGAGCCATGAGAGGAGGTGGAGGACAATAACAAGTTGATAGTGGGATTTCAGATTCTGAATTTGCTGGATCTCTAAAGCAACACTCTCAATAGGACCTGATGGGAACATACTAACTGCTACTACATCTGTACATGTCAACTGAAAATAGATACATTCTAGGGTTATCTGCATCCCCCAAAGTCACCTCCCATTCTGCCTTGGCCAAGGCAGGGCCTTACCTATCTGTGGTGAGGACTGCTGGTTCAGTTCACTCCAGAGACTCAACTCTTCAGAGTTTGTTGAGGGTCCAGAATCTGGCCCAGCAACACCTTACTCATGCTATAAATCCCAGATATCTGTGCATTTGAACCTGCCTCCAAATCATGTGCTCCTTTTGATTGGCTGTGTTGATGACAGGATTCAGCCTCCAGACACTAGTGCTTCATGCTCTTCCTGAGATATAATCTCTGACTGTCCCTCTGGCATGGCTGTGGGATACCTCTGTACACAACCGGAAGCTAAATTTGTGAACCTTGTCAAAGAAAGTTAGTCATTTTGTAGGCCTTGGATCACATTATACTGGACATTTTGATTTCTGATTGTGCTTCCTGAAAAAGATGTGTGTGTACCCTTGTAGTTTAGAATGGAAGATTTTGGTTACCATCCCTAGCATGGGCTTGGTCAGTATGTTCTATTTTGTGTTAAGTTCACAGCTATGATTGAATCCTGTGAGAACACAGTTCCTGGGATTCTCTTTTTCCCTGTCAGTGTGTAACACAGTTGTATCTCACAAGAATCTTCAGAAGACAGTGACACCCAAAGAGGAAAGTGATGTCAAGGCTGAACTGTAAGAGGGGAAATAAATGGCCTGCTGTGGATGTGTCTCTTGGAACTCTCTGGCTCTTCTTTTTTGGAGATGACATTGAGCTGCCATCTTGAAGCACCATCTACCTGGTACTCTTCATTGTAACAACACAACAACGACAACTCCAAGTTACTTTATTTACTGTTTCAGGACACATCCTGGCTACCTTTGGGATACTCACATTTCGTTGCAACAAGTACCTAGAGGTATTCAGAAGAATTTCCTCTTCAAGGTAGCTCTGGACACTAAACCATATTTACTTACTCCCCTTTTCCCTTCTTTAGCACTCATCCTTTCTTTTTATCTGTATGGATACCTGGCTACTGCTTTAGATAGAGGGTTTTTCCTTATAAGAATCCCAGTGAAAGGTAATTTCCAATGCATCTGTGTGAAAAAGTGGGACCATTAAGATGTACATTATCCTGCAATAATGAGTGTCACATTTTCCTCATTTTCTCATATTGTATTATATCATATGGCAGACAGATGCCATATTTAATTTATCCATTTTTTCATTTAGATCAGGGAAGAAATATATGGTATTTACCTGACCTATACCTTACAATACCCAATATGTGTAAAATCTTATACTAATCAAAAATTGGTAAATGTAGCAGAAACAGTGACTGATAATTTGTTTAGGTTCACATACATTTATTTTAAAGAAATTGAAAAGCATCAATAACAGACATAAGCTCTTACTTTTAAAAAATATTATTAATTTTTTTCACTTATTTTACTTATCAACCAGTTTCCTCTCCCTCCTCTCATCCTGTTCCCTTCTCCCACCTCCCTTCTATCACCTTCCACTCCTTTTCTGTCTCCATTCAGAAAGGGGAAGGCCTTCCATGGGAGTCAACAAATCATGGCACATCAAGTTGACCAAGTTCCTCCCCCTAAATCAAGGTTGGGCAAGGCAACCCAGTTTGGGGGTTGGGTTCCCAAAACCCATCTCAAGTGTAGGGGACATGTCCTGTTTGCTCTGCTAGGAGCCCCACAATGAGATTGTGCCACACAAATGTCACACACAGGTTGGCTGTCTCTGTGAGTTTCCCTGTCATGTTCTTGACCCCCTGGCTCCTACAAGCCTTCCTCTCTCTCTTCAGTAGAACTCCCAGAGCTAGGCTTGGTGCTTGGCTGTGGATCTCCTCATCTGCTTCCATCAGTTACTGGATGAAGGCTCTCTGATGACAATTGGGGTAGTCACCTGTCTGATTACAAGAGAAGGCCAGTTCAGGTACCTCTCCACTACTGCTAGTTGTCTTAGCTGGTGTCATGCTTGTGGGTTTCTTGGAGTTTCCCTGGTACCAGGTTCTCCCTAAGCCCAAAATGCTCCTACATGAAGATATCATTTTATTATTCTTCCTGTCCATCCCTCCCCCAACCTACTCCACATGAACCCCTCTGTTCCCTTACCTCCAATCCCTGTCCCCACTTTACCCAGGAGATCTCTTCTATTTCCCCTTCCCAGGGAAATCCATACATTGGAATGTGGTGGTATGGAAGAGAATATTCCCTACAGGCTCATTGAGTTGAATGCATGTTCACCAGTGAGTTGAACTATCTGAAGGGATTAGGAGGTATGGCTTTGATGGAGGAAATGTGTCACTAGAATAGGCATCAAGGTTTTAAAAACCCATGTCAAGTCTACTTAGTGCCACTCTCCTTTTCTACTGCTTGCAGGTCTGAATAAAAAATTCTTAGCTACTTATCCAGCACCATGCCTGACTTTATGCTGCTGTGTTCTCTGCCAAGATAAAAATGGACTATGCCTCCTGAAACTGTAAGTAAGACTCAATTAAATATTTTCCTTTATAGGTGTTTCCATAGTCATGGTATCTCTTTATAATAACAGAACACTGACTAAGACAGGTCATATGATTCAAAAAAATGAAATAGATTCTTAGAACTAGGTTTTTATTTGGTAACATATGACGTACTATCTCCCATATCACAGATGACCCCATTTAAGTTCCTTTTATGTATGTATGTATATTTAGACACTTCTACCATAGTTGGCTTTCATATGTCTTTTCACAATTCTTTTAGTATTAGTTATCTGTAGCTAGAGTTTTCCTGCCTGGCCCACAGTCAGGACAAATCTTTGTC